AACAACAAGTGCTGGCATGGATTCAGAGAAAAGGGAACCCTTGTGCACTGTTCATGGGAATACAGAATGGTACAGCCTCTATGGAAAACAGTACGGAGTTTCTTTAAAAAAAAAAAAAAAATGGGGCCCTAGCTGGTTTGGCTCAGTTGGCCTGCAGACTGAAGGGTCCCAGGTCCGATTCCGGTCAAGGGCACATGCTCAGTTTGTGGGCTCAATCCCCAGTGGGGGGCATGCAGGAGGCAACCCATGATTCGCTCTCATATTGATGTTTCTATCTCTCTCTCCCTCTCCCTTCCTCTCTGAAGTCAATAAAAATATAAAAAAATAAATAAATAAAAATCGACCTTCCTATGACCCAGTTATTAGTTCATATTAGAAACCCAAAAAACTAATTTGAACGAATATATTCACCCCATATGTGCATTGCAGCACTATCTACAATAGCTAAGATATGGAAGCAAGCCCATTAGTAGATGAGTGGATAAAAAAATTGTGGTGTAGTGATGTCAATGAGGCTCAGTGGTTGAGTGTCAATGTATAAACCAGGAGGTCAGGTTTGATTCCCAATCAGGGCACAGGGTCGCTGGCTCAATCCACAGCAGGGGGCATGCAGGAGGCAACCAATTGATGATTGTCATCATTGATGTTTCTATCTCTCTCTCTCCATTCCTCTCTGAAATCAAGAAAGAAAGAAAAAAAATATATATATATATACATATATATATATATATATATATATATATATATATATATATATATTTAAAAGAAACATTTTAAAAAGTTGTGGTATATATAATGGAATATTACTTGGCCATATTTGAAATCTCACAATTTGCAACAGCATGGACCTCAAGGGTATTATGGTCAGTGAAATAATTCAGTCAGAGAAAGATAAATACCATATGATTTCACTTATATGTGGAATCTAAAGAACAAAATTAATGAGCAAACAAAACAGAAACAGACTCACAGATAAGCAGACTGATAGTAGCCAGAGGGGATGGGGATTGGGAGACCAGATGAAAGAGGTAAAGGGATTAAGAAGTAGAAATTGGGCCCAGTGTTGATTCCCTCTCAACACTGATGTTTTTATCTCTCTCTTCCTCCCTGAAATCAATAAAATTATTTTTTAAAGAAGGAGAAATTGATAGCTACAAAGTAGTCATGGGCTTGTAAAGTATAGCATAAAAAATATTATAATAATTATGTGTGGTGCTAGAAAGGTAATAGAAATATCAGTGGGAATACTTTGTAAATTATACAGTTGTTTACCCACCAAGCTGTACAGCTAAAACTAATACAAAATAATAATAAAAATGTTTTGAAAAGTATCTTGATAGTGTTCAAGTTCTGGTTTATACTTGTTTCTAATACCGAGCCATATTGCTATCATTAGGCTCAATGAACTACCCATAATCTTAGTAATAAAATGTCTTCTGCTCAGACTAATTTGATTTAGGATTTTGACCTAAGCACTCAGCCACCTGGTAGAAGTTCAATAAATTCAGTATGTTCTAAAAGTTTTAATGTAGTTTTAAGCACCAATGACTTCAGAGATATAAATGCCATGACTTACAAAAAATAAAAAATCTGACAGCTTAATTATTTCCACTTCCTTAACATAAGATAGTTTTGTGAATTTTGAACAATAAATTTTGTTTCAATCTCTCTGACTGAATATAGAAAATGCAGACCCAAGCAAAAAATTTAACTAAAAAAAATTTTTTTTAATATATTTTATTGATTTTTTACAGAGAGGAAGGGAGAGAGATAGTTAGAAACATCGATGAGAGAGAAACATCGATCAGCTGCCTCCTGCACATCCTCTACTGGGGATGTGACCGCAACCCAGGTACATGCCCTTGACCGGAATCGAACCTGGGACCTTTCAGTCCACAGGCTGACGCTCTAACCACTGAGCCAAACCGGTTTTGGCAAAAAAAATATTTTTTAATTTGTATTCAAAAAATTTTAAATAAGTGCAAAACAAATGTATATAATCAAATTGCAATGTTTATAATACCTGTATTATTATAGTTCTGACGTTTTTAAAGTTTAAAACCACACTAAGACATTTGACACATCCTGTATTAACAGCATCACATATCAAAATATGAGGTTAGGCAGATGACTATTATCACTTGGAAAAAAAATAGGCATTCAAGAAAGAGCGCTAAAACCTTTCACCAATATGAACAATATAAAAGAGTTGTGACAGAAGATTTAGAAAGAATATTTCTTTGTATAGAACTATCAGGTGTCTTGGGCCCTAACCCAAACCCTTAAGGGAGGGGTGAATATGGTTAACCTTATCTCAAGCCTAGAAAGGCACTTTAAACAGAATATTCAGAAAAATTCTTATGTTATCTCTAGTTATAGAGAAGGAAGGCAGTGACAATCAAGACCTTTCTTGTATATCCTACCTTTCTTCTCTCCTTTTCCAAACACATGAAGAACAGAAACCACAACTACTTAATGGGAAAGAAAGCAATAAAAGAGAAAAGCCAGCCTGGCTGGCATGGCTCAATTGTTGAGTATCAGCCTATGAACCAGGAGGTCACGGTTCAATTCCTGGTCAGGGCACATGCCTGAGTTACAGGTTCAATACCCAGTAAGGGGCATGTAGGAGGCAGAGGGTATGAAGAAATATCATTGATGTTTCTATTTCTCTTTTCCCCTCCCTTCCTCTCTGAAATCAATAAAAATATGTTTTTAAAAATATAAAAGCTAAAAGCTAACCACATGTCCCAGCAAGCTCCAGCTGGGATACTGGGATGGGAGAGGAAGAGAAGTCTTAACTTTGAATAAAAATTAAAATATTGACTATAATATTTGACAAGAAATATTAATTTTATACTTAAAGCAGTGTTTGTGACTTAGATGTAAATGAATTATTCTTTAAGAGTAATCAGAATACCCTAATTTTTATTCAGGAGCAAGGGGAAATTAACCCAAATTAGCAAATATAAATGAATTCAAAGGAAAAAAAGAGCTTTGTGATTTCATTCCACAATATGTGTTTTTTCAGCATACTAGTTGTATAACTAATATAACCTTAGCCACCAGAAAGAACAGTAGGTCATCCACAGTGCTTTTGAAGATATTTCTTGACATGCAAAGAAATATACAAAAGGTATTCTAACCAAACAAGTGTTATGAAACTTATTTTGACAATAACACAATTTGAGTTGGAAATTCTCTCCTATAAAGTAACCCCTTCAGCTATTCTTTCTAAAGCTTTCTGTTATACCCAGGAATTATAAAACCAGCTGTAATTAGCACCAATAGTTAATATGAGGAGCTAGAATAAATAATAGTATACATGTCTTTTAATACCATGGTCCAACGGAAAGAATATTCATGGAAATTAACCTCCTTCTTTAATAATGTCCCTAGAACATGTTAAAGCTTTCATCTGACAAAGCTGCGCAAGTTCTTACCCTATCCTTCTAATAGGGAGGATTCTAAAAAGGGAAAATGGTAAATAGGGCCTACATACCAAAAATCTGGCCATTAATGAGCACAAGCCATACATCCTTTAGTTCCATTATTAGCAGCTTCCCTGGACTTTCATTACATTTTCTTTAAACTTTTGTTGAAATTTTCTATGACTGTTTTGCATAAATGTGGCTGAATTTCGATGAAGCTCATTTTCGTCCTGATGGCTTGTTTAATCGACAAAATTGTCAAATTTGGGGTTCAGAAAATCCACGAGTGATTGTTGAGAAACAAATGCATCCACAACGTGTCACTGTTTGGTGCGGATTTTGGGCTGGAGGGATCATCGGACCATTCTTCTTCGAAAATGCGGCTACTCAGGCAATAACAAAAGAGTGTGTACGTGCCAGCAAAGCCGTGGAGGCCATTTACCTGATATGCTATTCCCTACATATCCTTATACAGTATACTTTATGAATCAATAAAAATTTATAATTTTTAATTATAAACCTGTGTTTTCTATCAAAATTATTTCTTGCGTAAATTTTGGGACACCCCTTATTAATTGTTGATCACTGGATTTTATAACTAGAAAATATGATCATGCAAAACTTCCTACTTTTTCAATGTTGAATCTAAATAAAAATTTTTGAAAACACTAAGTGATATGAACTTTCTGAATATGTTTAACTTTAAAACATTCACCTAAAAATAATTATGAATTTATAAAAATTATCAATAAGTCAAAAATATATATACAAGTGACATTTTGTATGTTTGTAATTTTTACTTTCTAAATTTTAAAATATACATAACACAAAATTTGTCTATTAACCATTTTTAAGTGTATAATACAGTTAAAAATATTCACATTGTTGTGCAAACAATCTCCAGAACTCTTTCATCTTGAAAAACTGAAACTCTGTACCCATTCAACTAGTCCCTATCCCCCATTCTCCCCAGTCCCTGGCAACCACCACTCTACTTTCTGTCTCTATGAATTTGACTACACAGTGTACCTCATATAAATGAAATCATAAAACTTTTGTCTTTATGTGACTGGCTCATTTTACTTAGCATAATATCCCCAATGTTCATTCAGGTTGTACCATGTGTCAGAATTTCCTTCTTTTTAAATATTGAATCATATTCTATTGTATTTATATATTTCATTTTCTTTATCCATTCATTCATCATTGCACACTTGGGTTACTTCCACTTCTTTGCTCTTGTTATAATGCTACAATGAATATGTGTGTATAAATATCTCTTCAACATGTTAATTTTAATTTGAGGGTTATATACCCAGAAATGAAAATGCTGAATCATTTAGTAATTATATTTTTAAAATTTTGAGGAGCTGATCTACTATTTCACATTGTAACTATACAATTTTACATTCTGTGTGATTATAATTTTAAGCTTTAAAATTATACATATCATAAAAATTGATGTAAGAACACTAAAGTTTAATAGTAATATTATTTTCTTCTATTTCCAATTTTTCTAAAATAAATACGTATTCAGTTTTATAATTGAAAAAAATTATTTTAAAAGCTTACCTCTCTAACATATTTGACTGTTTCTCAAATATTTTCAACATGGTGTCCAGTCGATTAGGTACTGAATACATAGTTTCTATTGTTTAAAAAAAAGAAAATATTTAAAGATATTATAAATGACTGAAGTTTACCTCCATGGTGATATAACTCACGTCTATATGTGTGAGAACTACACAAGCAAAGGGAAGAGACAGCAGGGTCATATTAAGTACTCAAGGAACAAAATGCTTAAGATAAAAATAGTTGCCATTTGCAAGACACTACACTACTTTATAGTTTCCCAATTCTCAAACCAAAAAAAAAGGAAGATACTATCTCCATTTGCAAATAAATAAATTGAGGCTCAGAGTGATTATATAACATGATCAAAACTATGCATCTATAAGTGACAAAAGTGGACTGAGGTCCAGTGTGTGTGACCTCCTTCTGAAATTGTATATAAGAAGACTTTAGGATGCTTAGAGAACTGCTTTGGTTGCTGCTGCTAAGCCAGTAAATTCTATGGGAAGAATCTAACAACCTTGCTAAATATTTTCAGCTGAATCAAATAACCCAAAAAGTTACCTAAGATGCTACTTAAAAGGGACTCAAGATAATGAGGATCCATAACAGTGAACTCTTAGGGTAGTAACACAAGACTCTTCAATCTTGAAACACAAGAATTATACGACAAAAAACGGTCCCTGCACTGTTTTTGCTATATAAACAAAACATTACAAGTGCAAAGAAAATGTTAAGTAACATGAAAGCATACCACAGTTCCTTCCTATTCATTGACATGAGATGTCTCTCCATTTATTTATATCTTCATTAATTTCTTTCATCAGAATGTTGTACTTTTCATCATATACATCTTGTACATATTTACTTAGATTAGTATCTTAGTATTTGGTTTTGGTGTGGATGTAAATGGTGTGTGTAAAGTTTCAAATTCTATTTTGTTCATTGCTTGTATATAGGGAATAACTGCAATAAGAAAATTCAATATTTTAAGATACCAGTTCCTGCCAATTTGATTTTTAGATTCAATGTGATCCCAATCAAAATCCCAGAAAGTTATTTTGTGGATATCAACAACCTAAATTCTAAACTTAATATGGAAAGGCAAGAGATCAAGAGAAGCCAATACAATATCCTATCTAATAAAAAAGTAACATGTAAATTAACCATCAGTTTGCGATAAAGATGGTGGTGCCCAGCCAATAAGGAGGGAATATGCAAATTGGTGCAAGGAAGATGGCAGCACCGGTCAGAACCACAGAGCCAGCCAGAGCAGGCAGGAGACTTGGCTTCCTGGGTCGCCCCAGAGACCCAGGAATCCAAGCCAGGCTCCATGGCTGCTGCTTAGACAAAGTCATAGTGGAAGGGCCAAGGCAGAGGTGGTTAAGGGTGATCAGGCCAGGAAGGGAGGGCAGTTGGGGGTGATCAGGCAGGTGGTGGGAGAAGTTGGGGGCAAGCAGGCTGGCAGGGGAAGCCAGTTGGGGGTGAGCAGGACTGCGGCTGGGGTGGAGGAGGGCAGTTGGGGGTGAGCAGACCAGCGGGGGGGGGTGTCAGGTGGGGCCAAGCAGGCCAGAAAGGGGGGGGGGGGCACTAGGAGACGAGCAGGCCAGCATGGGAGGCAGTTGGGGGCAAGAAGGCCATCAGGGGAGGCAATTGGGGCCAAGCAGGTTGGCAATGGGGTTCGGTTGGGCATGCTCAGGCCAGCGGGAGGGGCAGTTTGGGGCAAGTATGGTGGCATGGGGGGCAGTTGGGGGCGAGCAGGCTGGTAGACAGGGCAGTTGGGGTCAAGCAGGCTGGTGGGGAAGGCAGTAGGGGGCAAGCAGGATGGCAGGGGGTGCCACTGGGGGTGATCATGACAGCGAGGGGGGAAGTTGGGGGGGATCAGGCCAGCAAGGGGGGGCATTTGGGGGTGAGAAGGCTGGTTGGGGGACAGTTGGGGGCAAGCAGGCTGGCAGGCAGAGTGATTAGGGGCAATCAGGCAGGCAGGCAGGTGAACAGTTAGGAGCCAGCAGTCCTGGATTGTGAAAGGGATGTCTGACCGCCGGTTTAAGCCCAATCCCACAGGGGGTCCCAGATTGGAGTGGGTGCAGGCCGGGCTGAGGGACATCCCTCTGTGCACGAATTTTGTGCACTGAGCCACTAGTTAGAGAATAAAGCAGAATAACTGACACTATCCAAATTTAAGACTTACTAGAAAACCTACAATAATTCAGAGAGTTTGCAAAAGGATAAACAAACAGATCAATGGAACTGAGTAGAGATCCCAGAAATAAACTCATACAAATATAGTCAACTGGTCCTTGGCAAAAGAACAAAGGCAAAAAGGTTAGTCTTAATGGAAATAGATTAGTCTTTTCAACATATGAGACTGGACAAACTGTAAATTTACATGCCAAAAAAATATAATAATCTAGACAGACATTACATCCTTTACAAAGATTAACTCAAAATGGATCACAGATTTAAATGTAAAATACAAAACTATAAAACTTCTAGAATATAGGATAAAACCTAGATTAGCCTTTAAAGATAATATTTTAGATAAAACACCAAAAGCACAATTCGTGAAAGAAAAAACTAAAAAGTTGAACTTTATTAAAATTAAAAACTTCTACTCTGTACAAGATGCTTGCTAAGACAATCCTATCTAATAAAAAGGGATGCTAATTTACCCTCATGCCATTGCAAAGATGGCAGTGCCCACAGCCAATAAAGAGGGAATATGTTAATTGACTGCTCCACCCTCAAATATGGCAGCGCCCACAGCCAATAAGGAAGGAATATGCTAATTGATTGCCATGCCCTCAAAGATGGCAGCACCCACAGCCACAAGATGGTGGCTCCCAGTCCCCTCAGCCCTGCCAGGGCCACAGGTGCACAGCAAGGCCGGGCACCCCCCAGGAGGGCCCGGCCACTCTGTGTGCCTGCCTCCAGAGACCCCCAGTCCCCTCAGCCCCCCAGCCACCCAGAGCTGGCCTGAGGCACAGGCAAGCCTTGGATGGTGGCTGCCCAGCTGTCCAGGGCTGGCCCAAGGTGCAGGTAAGCCTCAGATGGCGTCTGCCTAGCCACCCAGGGCCACCCAAGGCTCAGGTAACCAGGGCCAGCCGAGGCTTGTGCTGCTGGCAGTGGCAGCAGCAGAGGTGTAATGGGGTGTCGCCTCCCCCTGATTGCCAGGTTGCCTCCAGCCCCTGAGGGCTCCCGGACTGTGAGAGTGGGCAGGCCGGGCTGAATTTTCATACACTGGGCCTCTAGTAAAAATATAAGCCATAGGCTGAAAGAAAATCTTTACAAAATGCATAGCTGATGAAACACTTGTGTTCAAAATATACAAAGAACTCTTCAAACTCAACAATAAGAAAGCAAACAACCAGGTGGAGGAAAAAGCAGCAGAGTAGATGAAAGTTACACTCACCTCCTCTCAAAACCAAGCTGGAATTAAATTATAGAATAACTAACCTTTTGGATAAATAAAAGTCTTATAATCAAGGACTTACAGAAGAAGCCACATTGAGAAGGGCAGAGACTAAAGGAGGGCTGGCCTCATTCCCATGTGTGGTAGCTGAGAATCCTGATGTATATCTCAGCTGCAAAGGTCCACCCCTGAGTTATGTAGGGTCTCAACCACAAACCAGGCTCCACAGCCCAAAGCACCAGAGGTAGGAAGAGATGTCCACATCACATATGGCTGTGAAAATTAGCATGGATTCTTTATGCCAGGGAGAGACAGAGTCTGCTAGAAATCCAGGCACCCTCTTAAAAGTCCACTGCACAAATTTCATCCAGAGCCACTCACCCTTGTAGAGGAAGGGTGCATCAGAGCACACTGGAGTTGTTTAAAGACAGACTGGGTTTTGTGGCTCCAGTGAGAATGCTAAAAGAACAGCCACCAGGATTACTGTGCCTAGTCACTCTTCCACACCACCATAGACACCATCCTTCCTGGATCAAGCATTCCCCTCTTTAAGACCTCAGCCTTAGTGAATGCATTAGACCAACCCCCCTAAATCCCTGGCCTTGGCCTTGCTGAGCTCACACCCTTCAAGAAGTTTGCTGCAAAAGACTGTGGTATACACTTTTTTGAAGGATATTGAAGGTGAACTCAGGAGGAATCAGAGATTGAGTTGTGTGGCTCTGAGGCTCGGCCATTTCCCTTCATCCAGCCATGAGATAGCAGCAGTTTCATGCCATCTGTGTGACAGAGCAGCACAAGAGGGCACTGACCCCAAGCAATCAGAGCAGTGGCACCCTCTGTTCCAGAACAGCAGCACCACACTCTCTAAGCCATGCACTACCCCCACAAAGGAATTCCAGAACAGTGACCCAGAAACTTTACCCCTGATGCCAGAGCAGTGGCATTCCACACTCCCAAAGTTGTTCCAACAGGTCCACCATGGAGAACCATAATTTCCACCTGCCTGACTCCCAGTGGCCCCAACCTGCCCAGCATGCACTCTGTGGAAAGTCGGTGGGTTCTGGCCAGCCTCGTCCCATTGTGCAGAAGACTCTCCAGGAGGTCCAAGCAGACTCTGGGAAAAACTGAGTTGTGTGGCTATATCCTGAGACTCTTGGTGAGTGGCCTCAGATCCAGTTTTGGCATCAAGTTTGAAACTGTATCAATCTGGTGAATACCACTCACCCCTACCTGGTGACTCACTGAGAACCTACCTCATGCAACTCACATATCTCCAAAGGCTTTTTCAATTAAGTGAAACTAACAATCAGCTAGAGGTAGAGGCATATTTTGGGAAGCCTTGGGCCTTTTGCTGACCTGCCCCTGGGCTCCATACTTATGAACATGGGCCTTGGTGCACAGCTTTGCCCTTCCCATGCACACCCAAGCCCAGCAGAAGCAATCACAAACTGTGGATCACATTGTAGCTCCAAATAGATATCCCAGGGCCTGTCACAAGCAACACCTGATATTCATCTGCACTGGAGTACCTCCAAAGTGGCCCCATAACCAACATATTCAGTGGTGCGATTCAGACCATACCATAGCATGACCCAATTAGCTCCACAAGTAGCACATACACAAAAGGATATCTCAGCAGGCACCAGACAAAATTAGAGTGAAAT